TCAGGCTGAGCATCACTGCTGGGCTCCAGCTGCAGGACAGACTCGTGTGTGTGCAGTCGGTCGCCGCAGCCGTAGTGCAAAGCGGCACAGGCGCCCTCCGGGATCCCTCGGCCCTCCACTTCCCCCCCAGGGAAGCCGTTCAGGTACCTGCTGATGTAGGAGCCCGTGGAATGCCTGTTGATGATGTGAGGAGATGCTGAAGGCTTGTTCCGGAGGACGACCCCCGCCAGGCTGCCCGTGCCGGGAGGCCGGTGCTTGCTGGCAGCCTCCTGCCGCTCCCGTGCCCGGCTGGCGATGTTCCGCACGCGGCTCTGGCTGCGGGATGAGAGCTTTCTGACCAGCGTCCTGGGGCAGTCCTCGTCCTCCTGCCTGGAGCAGAGGGTGACACAGCTGTCCTCCTGCTCCAGGGACACCAGCTTCCTCAGCTGCTCCGTCAGAGCATCCGTCGAATGGGGCCGCAGATTCTTCATCGCGGCCAGTTTCTTGTCTCTCATGCCTGAGGAGATGAAGCCTCTGCTTATGTATTGATACTTACTTTCAAAGTTGCAGGAAATGTCCTCTGATGTCAAGTCACCAAGGCTCTTGGATTTGCAAGGGCTAGTTTGCTTCATGGCTGGAGGAGATGGGAAGGCCAAAGCATTTTTGAGCACCGGTGAGTGTAGGTTGAGCTGGGACCTCTTGGGGGGACACATTACATTTTTCTGCTCATCTGAACGATGATGATACAAAAAGCCAACATTTTCACACATGGGAAAAGGGAGCCGAGTCCCTGCAGTCCTGAAGTTCCCCGAGCAGTCCAGGGCAGCAGCACGGAGCTCAACAGCTGTGCTGTTCCCAGAGGTCCTCTCCCCACCATGCCCAATGTCCTGCTTTGGCCGCAGTTTCAAAGGGGAAGCCAACTGGCTCATGTCCTCCCTTTTGTACTCACACGCAGTCACCAAGAGATCTGGAGAATCTCCATCTACTTCTACAAGGCTGCTGCTTTCTGAATTCTCAACAGTGGGAGGGTCAACAAGAGTCTCCTCAAAGATGAGGCTATTGGAAGCAAAAGGACTGGCAGACATGGGGGCTTTCCAGCTTGTTCCACGTTTTTTTTGGGGATCTGCATTTAGCAAAGAGAGGGGTGAAGGACAAGGACAGCTAGGCAAATTATTTTCTATACTGTTCAGCTTTTTCTTGCAAACTAATTCACTGTGGGTCTTACATTCAGAAGCTGGTGTAAGAGTTGCCTCACGGATGATTGTGTACACAGAATACTCTGTAGTCTCAGGGCTGGAGAACATGGTGGTGTCTGGAGTGGAGAATAAAGGGGATTTGGTGGCTTGGGTGGCTGTAAAGATGGGCTTACAGGAACTGCTGAGATCTGTAGAAAGCAGGTGCGGGTGTGCAGCCATCATCCCAAGGGTCTGGCTGCCAGCACCGTGGAGGCTGGAGACCACAGTGAGATCAGGTTGGTCATCTGTGATGTCCAATTGCCCAATTAGAGCTGAGACAGCACTGTCCAGCTCACTCTCACTTGCTAGGGAAACCTCATCGATCAGGCGGGAAATGTCGCTGTCATGCGCAGCTGAAGCGCAGGGCACATGAGGAAGGTCAGGGCTAAGGGCAGACGATGTGTCTGCCAAAGGAAGAGGTGCTGCAGGGCTTTTCTTGAGGGTGGCATAGCTCTGATTTCCCATCTCTACTTTTTGAGAAAGGGAAGTCCCCAGAAGGGCTATTTTGTCCTCCTTAGACCCTTTTGTGCCATCTTCCTTTTTGTTGTCGGTGCAGTTTTTGTCATGTGGTTTTTCTGTGGAAAGATCAAAATCAGAGTCCTGCACTAGAGGGACAGTTTCATCAGAAAGACTGTTCTCCTGATTTGTTTCAGCTACACCACTTGTGAAAAATAGATGTCCAGGTTGCTCCTGTAGAGGTGGTACCAAAGGGTGAGCTGTAGTCTCCTTCTGGTCACTCTCCTTCTCAAACTGAGATGTCAGATATGAAGTATTTGCCGTTTTCCCAGAACACAGAAAACCAGATTCTTTCAAGTTTGTTTCCTTCTCATTTATATTGTCATCACTGTTGGCTAAATTAAATAAGAAACATATTAGTTGCATACAATATTGTGTTCTGTTTATTAACAGCTATTTCCTCCTTAGACAGACAAATGGAGAACGCAAAATTAGGTACAGTTGTGACAGAACTTAATTATGGGGTTGTGCATGTTCAGTACAAATTATCTGAGTGATATGAATAAATGGAAAAATACAACTGCAGGCACTTCACTGACACTGCCTTTGAATGCCTGTACATCAAACAGGTGATGTAATATTTGTTGCAAATCATGTTAATGAGGGACCATATCATAGCTTGCACATGGTATTACCTTCAGCTGTGTTCCTAGTCAGATTTGTATTATAAAGAAGCATGGCAATAAAGACAGAACAAAACAGCTCTGTTAAAAACACAATACTTTGATACGAGATGCATGCTTAAAAAAGCTGAGCAGAAAGCATCATGTAGATGGACTCCAGACTGTTTTTTACATCTAGTTATTGTAAAATGTTACAATTTAAGGATTTCATTTTTGATCTTCTACCAGCATCTACTGCAGTCATGAGAGCCTGGGATGCCCCTGCAGCACAAGGAAAGATGAAGGTCTTTCAGGGACAGGAGAGGACTCTATCTGGGATGTTGTCTTCATCTCTCACTTCTTTATGTCTAAGGTGACAGAAATTTACATCTTACAGAGATTCCAACAGACAGGAGCTAGTTCTCTCAAAGGTAGAAGGAGCAAGATTTATTCCCTGTGACAGCTTCTTAGGTCAGCTCACCAGGGCCTGTGTTTTCTGCAAAGGGTATTCTTGCTGTAAGTGAATACCCATGACCTCCAGAAAGTGTGGAAGGTTCTTCTAAAATAATTTCGTGCCTTTATAGCGTTTTTAGGAAGAAATATCTAAGATATAATTACATCTGTTGTGAAAAACAGCTGAACTGTGTCATCTTCACGAGCTTATCTAGAGGATGCTTCAATTCATAATGCAGCATTTCAGAATTTACTTCCTTTATCAGGAATATCTTTTTTCCTGTCTAAAGTTTCCTCTCACAGTGGAAGAAAAAATACTTGATTTCACTTGCTCTTTCTCCTCAGTAACTTCCTTTACAAGGCAACATCCAGATTACCTGTTCCTTCAAAGTCACAGCTGGGGGTAGTTAGAACAAGGGATGCTCAACAACATATTGTTCTAATCTGTGCCTAGGGGTGCTTCCATTTTAGGGTGGCTCCTATAGTTGCTAGAAGCTGCTGTTCTGCATCTGGAAACATTCAGAGCTGAGCAACATTTCCATCACCCCCCAGCCAACAGAGGTTCAGGGGGTGCTCTCTGCATCCTTCCATGGCAGAGATGGAGCTTCTGGCTGCACCAGCAGAGGAACAGCCTGGTAGGACCGACTGCAGAAAGGCTGGGTGGTCAGAGGTGACCAGACACTGGGGATCTGGCTGGGCCTGTAGGCTCACAGGGGCAGCTTGTAGGAGTGCACATGCTCTTCCTAAACAAAGCCAGCCCCAAAAAAGGAGCATTGATCTCCTGGACTAGGGAGAAGCTCTGGGTGGAGACAACAGATCTAATGCGTTACAGCCGTTGTGTTCAAAGCTTTCCAGGCTTATTTAAATATTCCAGTAAATCAAGTATAAAGGCAGGTTAAACACTGATTTTCCTGAGTCATGGGAGTAACTGGATTTTAAAGCCAAGTCCATTATTGCTGAAGACACATAAAAGCTATTTTAAGAATGAAATTGTATCGTGTATCAATAATACAAGACCAAGATTTTATCTAAGACATGCTTTCCATATAACCTACATTACTTAATTTGATTAATTTAGGAGGATAATATCAAGACTGATGGATACAAAGTTTGACCAACTTCCACCCCTTCTAAATCTGTGTGGAAGTCTGCAGTAGTCTTTACACACGATTCCCAAAAACATATGCTGCATGCTCTCCTTCCTCCATGCAAAAGGAGAGCAAACCCACCAAGCCAGCAGCTCCATTTGCAACAGTAAACAGAGAGGAGAAAACCAGAGATTGATGAAGTAGAATCAAAGGTTGGTTCTTAAATTACAAAAAGGAATTTGGCAAGTGTCCTCTTAAGAGCACTCCTAGAAATGACTAATTCATTTCCTAGTTAGGAGAGTAGACAGCTTTCCAGAGTGTCACTTATCAGACTTTAAGGAGCTGTTAAAATACTACAATCTTAAGCACATGTAACTTTGCCCATCAACTCTTACTTGAGTTGAATAAAACTACTTGCACAGGGACTGCAGAACTAAGCATTTCCAGAGACTAAATCAACTTCCTACATAAAAAAATAATTTTGGAAGCACCTTACCAGATGTGTTTTCTTGTCCTTTGGCATCCTGGGCACTTTCACCTTCCGGGCACGGCAGCCCTACAAGAAGGTATTTGTCCACAGGCATGGAAACAGGACGCGCTTGCAAGCTCCGGCTCGAGCGCCTAACAACTCCCTCCTTGTCTCTCAGGTCTGCTGGCTCCGAGGCACTGTCCCTCATCTCAGCAGCTTCCAAGAAGCCCATCTTACTTTTCTTCCGACCCTTGGCCGGCGCGCTGGCCGTGCGGCGCAGGAGGCGGTCGCCGATGGATCGTTTCCGTACGTAGTGCCCGCTGCTCTCGGCAGGGCTGTGCTTGGGGTTCTTGTTAAACAACCCTCTGAGTCCCATCAGCTGCTTGTTCTGAAAGGACAAGAATAACCACGGTCTGGAGTCAGTTCAGACTGTTACACAACTAGGATGATGGAAAAGGCTGCTTCCAGAGTATTTATGAGTGATGAAGGCAAAAGTTAAAAAAGCAGCAAAGCAAAAAATTCACACTGAGCAATTCACGTCTCCTCTGACCAAGGAGCCATCAGCACAGGTCTCCATGAATTCATGCATGTCCAAATTCCTCCTCATTAGGATGGCAGCCTGCCACAATCACAAGAGAGTGTGCTCCAGGTCTCCTAATCAGAGATGACAAGACTGCAAGAAGCGTCTGCAGCGACAGGCGACACAGCAACTCGGGAGTTTTAGGCATGGGCTTCATCACAGCAACACTGAGATGTTTCAGTCTCTGAATGAGGGATGATAAGTTTGGTAGTTGCAGATCATGCGATTAGGAACCATTTGAGAAATCTGTGCCCAGCAAGTGCAAAGTGCATGCTAATGAAGTCTACCTTTGTGGCTCCTAGAAAGTGCAATATTGTGTAACTGGGGTTGAGGATTAAAGGGCTCCACTGAAAGGCAAAAAAATGCAAATACATTTGGCTTCTGTTTTCAAGACTGTGATACATGCAAATAAGGTAACAGTACATCAGCTGTAAATATAATCCTTCTACAGCAAACAATTTAAAGCCATTTATCAGTCTAATGTCAGTCACTCTCAGAACTTGGCTAGGAATCTTCCCTTACAAGGACACAAATGTGCATTCAGCCTTTGTTTATACATTAGAAGCAGTAATAGAGCTCATCATCAAGGCATGAATCAGAAGGATAGACTAAGTGACACAGAGATCAAATCTCAGTTGATCTTTTATTTTCCTCATCTTCTTTTATCATTTGTCTTCCCTATGAAGCTCCTTTTTTACTATTTTCTTGCCTATTCTTTGAAGAGTACATGAGCCAAGAGCAACAGCCAAACAGGCTCCCATACAGACTGTCACCAGAACTGCAGGTGCTGTGACAGAGGCACCCAGATGTGTTCAGCTCCAGCTACACACTGCAGGGGCTGTTTGCTGCTGCTTTTCTTGTTGCACAGATCTAGGAGTCATGAAGCCCACCTTGGATGCCAAAGCCCAGTCCACGTGCACAGAACATGTGCTGTTACCCCCACCACCTCATGGTTCTTCTCCCTGACAGGAGGGACACTGGCAGAACCAGAGCAGATGGGTACACAGAAATGCTGGTCCCTGTGCTGAGACAAGGGTGCCAAGGGCAAGGCAGACACCTCAGTGCCTACAGACCATGCAGTGAGCTAATGGGATCAGTGGGATAAAGGTAGTGGAGTTAAGTGAGGATCTGAACTACACCAAATCCCAGCCCTTAGGCCTTACCTAGCTTATTTTCTCCCTTTGTTCCACTGAGCTTTCCTTGGCAACCTTGCAGAAAAGCAAAATGTACACACTTAAGCCTAAAAGATTTAAAGCTTGAGTTAGCTGCTAAAAATAGCTGGCCAAATTCTGTTGCAGTCATAGTTCTCAACACCTACAATGAAATTTGTTCAGCACGTCGAAGGAAATGTACTTCCTGAATCTAGACATGATAATTAGGTGCAAAGAACATCCTGAGGTACATGCATGCTAGGACAGAGTAACAGGCTGCTATGCTCTCCTGGGTGGTCACCTGCAAGGAACTCCCAGACCATGAGCTACATCCCAAGCACCCCGACAGAAGCAGGTCTGTGCTGCCACTGCAGTGCCTCAACTGGAGAGAGCCCAAGGTTTCCTGGGCAGGGCTTTGCCCTGGCTCAGTGCTCCCCAGAGAAAACACTGCAGAGGAGAACCTGCAGCTTGGTTCCTTGGGCATGCTGACACTTGGCAGTGCATGTATATACCTACACAGGTAGGAGTGGAAATGCAGACACTGAGTTGAGGGCAGAGAATCAGACATTGTGCTTTTTCATTGCTGTATGGTCGGAACCACGTGTTCAAACTGCATTGCTGATGAGTGCCAGAGAGCCAAGTACTGCTGGTCCCAGGTACAGCCTGCCACAAACCTGAGCTGTGAGAATCACTCAGAAAGCACACAAATCCCATGCAGTTCTGGGGTATGTTTAAATCTATTTTTGTCAGAAGAATTAAAGCGAAAACACCTCGTAAGAGATGTATTCTTCCAGATATACCCACCTTTCCATAGATCTCATTAATGGTTATGTGAACAAATATGGATGCTTCTGTCAGCCCTTCCAGATACACATGACGATAACCTAGTAAAACATGGATATGGAACCACAAATAATTAACAGTTTGCATTTTATGCACAACTGCAGGACCTGTCTATAAAAGTGAAATACATATGGTAAGCTACTTATGCCTTTAGTCAAACTTACATTCTTACAGGCTTTCCAAGCCCCCCAGCACAAATTGCCTCCAAGTTATAAATAAGACACCAGTTAACAACTTCCAAAAGCACAGATACCCAAACTCCTTCAGGCAATGGTGGATATTCCACCCTGAGACACCAGGAGAATCCTCCAATCTCCGGTATGAAGTCTCAGAGATACAGTCATGTATCCTGCATTCATAACCCCATCTTGAACTTTAGGTCCAAAGGTGTTTGCTCTTCAGTTAGACCTGTAGGTCAAGGAAGACAAGAGGGACTAACCAGGCACAATGCTGCTGAAGGCCAGAGTTCTTTGCCCAACAAAATCTCGTCCAATAGGGTCATGGTCCCAAACAAGAAATCGCACCAGAGCTATTTCAGGCATGTGGATAGTAAAAGTGAGTGTCTCCTCCCAAACAGGATTAAACCCTGTAAAACACACAAATTTTGGGAAACAAGTCCACAGCAAGCACTATCTTCAATTTTCATGACGCGAGAGGCACAGGAACAGGCAAATCAAATATACAAATGAACACTTGTTACTTATTGCTCATCTAGGTGCTCTTGATCTCCATTATAAAAGTAATTAAAGGTGAGAAATCTGTCTCTTGGGCTGCTTTTACAAACAAAATGGTTCTGCCTGGGTAGCTGGCAGGGATACCAAGGCAAGCTGTTGTTTTGCAAAACTATGGTAGGCCAAAGACAGACCAAAATAAGGGGGAACTACTCCCTTTTTTCCCTTGCATGGTTATACAACTGCCAATGAGAACTGAAAGCCACCTCTCCTGCTGCAACTGACTGTCCCTCTCAGTTCTTCATCTCCTTCACATGAGGAAGCAGTGAAACTGCCTAAGACATGATTTGTTTTCATTTCATTTGGAATTATACATGTCTTTTATACAAAAGAAAAAATAGTTGGAATTTCTGTGTAACAGAGATTTAAGAACAACCCAGTAGAGAAATAGTGTGGAGCACTTCTTGTCCTTCACCCCTTGTTTGTTTCCCTAC